TGTATGGATTGGGATAACAGTTGTATGAGCCCCTAATAAAATGTTTGTTTTTTTTTAATTATCAAGGGTTCATGAGGAAGGGAAGGAGGGAGGGTGAGGGAGGGAGAGGGGAAAATGAGCTGATACCAAGGGCTCAATCAGATAGAAAATGTTTTGAGAATGATGATGGCAACAAATGTACATAAGTGTTGGCATGATGGGTGGATGGATGAATTGTGATAAGAGTTGTACAAGCCCCCAATAAAATGATTTTTGTAAGCATACACAATACTAGAAACTCCAGTGTAGACAGGAGACAGGGAAGACGGAAATCCATTTGAGGGTTAACACTCTGTGAAGTAACCTGCGGGCACCCGGGCTCATTTTCACGGAGGTCTCTCAGGTCTCGGAGTAGAACACACTTCAGAATTTTCTCAGGCAATATCCATACTGGGATATTGGTCCATCAATTCTTCCTTCATTGACTAAGAATTGATCTTAAGAGTTATCAGCTCTTGCCACTTTGGCTGCCCTTTGAGCAGACTGAGAAAATACCCATGGCCAAAGGCATGCAGGCAGAGACGCGGGGCTGTGGGTCTCTCTGATATCTGGCCTCTGAAACCTCAGGTGACTTCCAGAATGGACCAAAGGGATTTAAGTGGACACTGATAGTAACTGCTAGAAGACGTTCCTATAGATTTTCTCCCAACCTCTGTTCATCACACAGAGGTGTAGATTCTATGATAACCCCAGCCAACTTCTACCCAGACTTTCATCTTTGCATCTTACCTCTGCTCAGGCTCCTCCCCCTCAAGCCGAGCTCCAGGCAGAAGCATAATCTGAAGACTAGCTTTCACTGAAAACGTCAGCAGGGCTTCCTGAGCACCTACTATGCAACGAGAGGAACCCACAATGGGAGAGGGGTGGAAGAAAGAAGGGGGAACCAGTTCTTAGCACTTTTTTCAAGGGGTCTCTGTTAAAAGCAAGGAAGAGACCGAAACAGACAAAACTCCGTTCTGCTGTTTCTGCACCACCTTCTTTGCTCAGCCCCCCACCCATTGCCTCGACTTCTTATCTTGCTCAGAGTCAAGAACCTATCCTTAATGTAGAAATAGGAAGGAAGAGTGGACGAGGACAAGAAGAGTAGAGGTACTGTCCTAGGTAGACTTCAGCCCATGCTCACTCAGATCCATCGGATCCGTCCAGCTGCCTAGCAGCCCTCCAGAGGCCCCAGCCTTGGCTCCCCTGCCTTCCCACCCCATGTCAGCTCCTCACCCTCCTAAACGAGGTTTCGTCCTCTCTGAAAAGTCTAAGGCAAGCTCTGTTACCTTGCCTTGCACGCTCAACTGGGAGATCACGCCATGCACACCTCAGGGAAGCTGCCCAAACCTTATCGCAGATACAAAGAATAAAGCCTGGCTTCATATCCTTGCATCGTGTTAGACTACACCCAGCAGAGCCTGGCAGGGTGCTCTGATATGACTCCTTTCTCTGCCCCTTCCCTCAGTTCAGCTCTCCTGACTCTACAGGACACAGAACAACACAGTGAGCAAGGCCACGGCGCTGTCCTGTTCCCAGGTTGCTTTGCAAAATCAAGAAATTCCCATCACCCACATTTTACCTCCTCTTCCCCCTTCCTTCCCTTTTGTGCCATTGCCAATAGCCACTCCTCTCTCCCACTCCCACTTCCTAGTGGATGGGGAAGCCACAAAGCGAGGGAGCCCCATTCTTGAGAGCAGGACAGCTATAGGCTGGGGAAATTGAACTGAAACTGAATGAATTTTCCATGGAAACCTCGTTGTGAGTTGTTAGATCCTCTTTTGCTGACATTGTTTCAAGATCATGTGTGTTCAATGGTGTTTGTGCTCCACTGGGACCCTACCACCTAGCCACCCACTTTCTGTGAGAAAATAGACCCTGTGCCACATGCCAAGGATCCTATAAAGTGAAGCCTGAGTAGTAAGGAGATTGGATCACTGGGCATGTAAAGATATTAACACAGAAGGAAACGGAATTGTGGGAGAACAACTCATGCTCTCATTCATAGAAATTGCATGCATTGCCGTTATCATTATCCTGGTGGGGGCGGTAGTGGTGGTGGTGGTGGTAGTGGTGGTGGTGGTGTTTGGTTACCTAACCTGGGTTCTGGAACACAAGGTGCCCCAGGAAATGTATCATTGGCTGTTATTGACCAAATGACAGTTCACTAAGCCTGAGAAACTAGATGGAGACAGGCTTGACCAGGCATCTTAGCAAATGAGCTGAAACTCAAAGACCTTTTCTGGTGAAGATGCTTCGTAGGGGGCGTGCTGGGCCCATGGGGTGGGGGGGTGACACCGAGAGAAAACGATGGTCAAACCAGGAAATGGCCAGCATTTTGCTTCTGAACAGGAACAGTAGCTGAGCGGGGGAAGTTGGGTTCTTGACGAAAATGAGTCATAGCCACTCTAAGTTTGCAGCCAGCTTATAGAGCTGGTGAGGCGGTTTTGGAAGCTAGTGATGATCCCCTCAAATGTTCCTGTGCCCTTGAATCCGCTCTAGCCTGACGCTTCCCCTCTTGCTCCAGAGTGTGCCCAAGTCATGCAGTCCACCCGGGAGCCCGGGAGCTTGCTCCTGCGGCACTCAAGGCCAGCTGTCACCATGCCCTGGAGTCGGTCAACCACTTGTGAATTCCTGCAGGCCCAGATCTTCCTCGGTTTATTTCCCTCCTGGAGTTCTAGTGGCATGGCTTTAAGGGCATTTCTTTCTTGACCAACAGGAAAAGGATGTCTGTACCCTCAGGCCAGGAGAACTCACGAATGACAGAGAACCCAGGTTGCTGGGGACAGATCCCGGAGGAACCCACTCTCCTTCTCATGGCCTATACCTCCCCCCACCCCACCCCCGCTCCAGAACTCCAGATCACCCTTCCTCAAGCTTTATCCCTCCTCCATTAGCTCCCACATCCTGGAGCTAGACCCGGGTCAGGAACCTTTTTCCTGCCAAGGGCCATTTGGATCTTCACACCACCATTCGCAGGCCATTCTGGTCCAACATTGACTGAGCTCACCCCCTAATGTAACAGCTGGAACTGCTCCTCTTTGGTGAGGCGTGAGCTGTTAGCTGTAGGTGGTGATTTCCCAGGCTTCGTGTGGTCTGCAGGCTACATGTTCCCCACGCCTGAGGGAGCCACGAGTGGTAGCACTGGTCACCTCGGGTTCCAGCTGTCTCTTTAAGTCTGCCTCCTCCTCTGCTACATTGTGAACTGCTTGGGGTGCCAGAGACTGAGCCTCATTTACTTGTGGCACCAAGCGCAAGGCGGGACACCACAGTGTTCACTGAATTGAAGGAACACAGAGAGGCTGTGGACCTGCTTCCTGCCCTCCTTGCAGGCCGGGGTATACATGCCCCCCCCCGCCCCCCCCCTGGTCTCTGTGTTTGTTAACCCAGCACGCAGGAGTCGGAGGTGCAGCTGCTGCAGGATGCCAAACGCTTCACGGAGCAGATAGAGCAGCAGCAGTTAAAACTGCAGCAAGCAGAGGCTTTCCCAGAGGCCTTCAACACCGAGGTCTCCAAAATGAGAGAGCAGCTGCTCAAGTATCAAAATGAATACAACGCAGTGATGGAAAGGGAGTATCATAATCAGTACCGACTGAACAGGTGAGCACCCGCCCTCCTTACGCCCTCCATACATGCCGCGCCTTTCTCCACACAAACCCCACTGAGAAGAAGCGCAGTACGTTAAGAGGTTATCTTAGGGAGAGTGGGTATGAACAACACATCTCATTCTTTCCTTGGCTGCCTAGAATGAGCGGTCCCCAAAAAGGAAGGTCACACTCCGTCAAGGGAAGCAAGCTTGGGTGACAGGGCTGCTGCTGTCAGGAAACAGAGCTCCCTGCTGTGTTTTCGGTGTGCCTGGAAAGCCATGAGCACTGGGAGTTGTGCCAACGAATACACCGAGAGAACACGGACTTGGCCCACACGCTGGCCCATCTCTGCCCTGACGTGACCGCGAGTCCTCCTCTGCGAGCCAACTCACCTGTCCCTGCAGGGACTGTTTTCCTCACATGCGTGAATTCACACTTTCCAAATACATGAGCCGAGGGCCAACCCCTTTATTCTAGGGTCAGGGACCACATAGGAACCCTACTCGCCTCTGAGTAAATCCATCCTTAGGGTTGCGAGAGAAAGCCCCAGCCTTTGGGAAATACCGTGCTGATCTCTGGTCCGCTTCAGCAGAAAGGCGTTGCTCACGGTGGCACATGTCATTTCTATCATCTTCCCTAACACGAGCAAACCAGTGGAAGCGTTTGCCCAGTAAGTCGCTTTCTTCAGACTGAAGGGAAAAATTATGCCCATTCGGGTTTTGTGCAGCGGCATGCTGCGTGCTGTGACTGGCTGCAGCAGACAGAGCCCAAGCATCTCTCCTGGAATTTGTTGCCATTTAAGGTGGCAGAATGAAGAATGTTCTCTGGCAATTTTAAGAGAAGGGAGCTTTTGGACCGTGCAGATGCAATGTGGCCCTGCCCAGAGGTAAGCAGGCTGCTGAGTGAGCTCACACACCTCACACAGCCTGGTGTTTAGAATCCTCTCTTGGGGCCTGTTCTTGGTCCAGGAGAATTATATGCAAGGAGTAAAAATCTGGGCTCTCGTTTGTCTTTCGATCTAAACTTGTTTCAGATGTACCAGCATGGTCTATAAAAAGAAAGCTTAGCTATTTCTGGGCTCTGTAAGCACCCTTTCAGTTGAGGAAATAATGAAATTAAAACAATCGGTGATTGTTCATTAGTAAAACATGAATGCTTGACATTTCCCTGAAAGGGTAAGAGGAACATAAGTCTGCTGATATTTAAAAGTGTTTAAATTTTCCAAGTAGTCCTGCCAAAGAGAAAACAAAAACAGAACTATTGCCTGTTAGGTAGAGGCAGGCAAATTGTTCATTGAGCTTCACGGGGGAGAGACTGAGAGATGCAGTGGCCTATAGTCTAAAAGGACATTCAAAAGGTACACTTAGGGAATTTGTCTGCATGTATTTTTGTTCATGTTTAATGTGCACTACTTTGCCTTGAGCAGACTCCTGTGCATTCTCAAGGGTTAGGCACGTAAGGATAGACAAGCATATTTTTATTAAGAGATGGATGCTTACAAAGGAAAGTCTAACCGGCACAATGCAGAAACATATTCAGCCCTTGGGTGGGTGGGGGAACATCATGGATATTTCCATCCCCACAGGGAGAGAGAGAACTATTCATCTGGATATACAGATGGTATTTGTCCAACCAGCACAAGAGGCTCTCATTTTATTCAGAGCCTAAATAATGGGAGCCCCAAGACCCAGCAGCCCTACCCAAGCCCCTATCATCTTCAGGAACATCTGAATCACTGGCGCCATGCAGTCCAGTATCTTGCTCATGCGCTCTTGGGAAAGTATTGGACTTTGATTTAGATGATTTCCCCCCGGTGTTCGCATAATACAAGGTCTTGCTTGCAAAAGAGAAGTATAGATGTGTGGTGCGTAAGAATGAAATCTATCGTTCAGTAGTTTCCATGTAGAGACTGATTGTCATTGATAACCTCTCGGTAAGTACATACATAGTTCAGGAAAGAACACGTGTTCTATTCAGAGAAGGACATTGTAAGTGACTAAAGATGGTTGAGGTGCTGAATTTTGAAACAGGAGGAGAGACACTTACCTCTCTAAAGATGTTCTCTGAAAAGTTTTCCAATATTCAATCTTTTCCTTGCCTTGACTCTGTTACTTTTACACACCCTGTTTGGAATTTCTCTCCTTGTTAATAATACCTAAAATTCAGATGGCATGTTTTAATGAAAAACCTCAGATTAGAAAATTATCCATGGCACGGAATCATGTGGCTTTAGAAGACCTGACTATATCAGCGCTTCTCAACCTCTGGGTCACGACCCCTTAGGGGGTCGAACAACCCTTTCACTTGGGTCACCCGAGTCATAACAGTAGCAAAAATAGTTATGAAGTAGCAATGGAAATAATTTTATGGTTGGGGGGAGGGGAGAGGGGTCGCCACCACATGAGGAACTGTATGAAAGGGTGGCGGCATGAGGAAGGTGGAGAACCACTGCTCTACATTGTCTCTGCTGCATATGATTGTGGATGAAAGGCCCATGCTAGGTCCTCGGACCGACACTTGGGCACCTCACCCCCAAGCCACCTGGGTCCTTTCCTAGGAACCACTCAGTCGCCTTTTATGGACCTTCAGTGGCCGGAAGCTCCTGGTCTCCCAGAGAAGTCCATGCCAACGCTGTAAAGCTATTACTGGATCAGAAACCTACCTTCCACCAGTTTGTGCTAGATGCCCTTACATTGGCTGATACGCTTGTCCATGGCAGCATGCTACGGTTTCCATTGGAAACCAGCTCTCTGAGTGTAGGAAAGAAGAGAATCAAGAGGCGCTTGGTGCTGGAGCACCCCTTATGTGAGAACATGTCACACAGATTGAGATGTTAAGGTTTAAAGATGAGGAGTTAATATGTATCCAGAAGCACACACAAAAAATGAAACACCATCGCATAGTGCCCGATGTGTTCATTACATAATTATTTATCAAGTGAAAATGTGTGCGCCATCTGACGAGTGGGACATCAGACATAATGCAGCCCCGAGGCACCCTGATACTGGCAAACACGAGTCCAAGCGGGCAGTTCACCCTTGACTCACTGGCTTTAGAAAAGCGACTGAACTCTTGTGGGTTGGCCTGTGTCAGGAAGATAGAGCACTTACTTAGCAAGGCTGTGAAGGTGAGAAATGATGCATGGTTATGCCTTCCATGGTAAGTTTAATATAAGATAGATGTTATTTAGGATTATTTTATTATGATACATCCATCTAGTACAGAACTTTGAAACTATTCATTATGAAATTTGGCAACTAAGAACAATATTTTTATTAAGTGGATCCAACCATATGTACACATCTAATATAACTTTATTAAAAGATACAAGGAAAGTTAAAAATGATTATCCATATCATGGTAGGGATGGGACTATGAGTGACATTTTTCTCTAAATAGAAAAATATATGTCTTTTGGGGGGGGGGAATCAGTTAGTGCTTCTAATATTAAAGAGAAGTCTATATGATATAAATTAATTTTAAATGTTCCAAAGAATTGGCCATTTATGTTTGTGTAGAGACAAGATCACTTTCTATTCAAAGACCATAAGTCATGTCACCATTTTGAAACTCAGGTTGCCCTTTTAGCCAAGAAATGACAGTACACCATTGCCCCCTGGTGGCAACATGCCTGAGCTGTAGGATCAATAATCTGGAATTAAAATATCACCCATCTATATGCTGCAGCTATAAAAGTGAAGAAATATTTATTTCAGGCCCTAAAATAAAATCCAGCTGCCACATAATGTTCTGGTAACTAACTGATATCAGAGCCAATGTAACACACGTATTGTTAAGTGCCATCAGGGTGGGCCCAACTGAGCAGTCCTATGTACAACAAGACTGCCTGGCCCTGCGCCATCCTGACAGTTTTTCCTATGTTTGCACCCCTTGCTGTACCCACTGTGTCCGTCCATCTTCTTGAGGGTCTTCTTATCTGCTGACCTTCTACTTTACTAGGAATGATGTCCTCGTCCAGGGACTGAGCCTACCTGAGAACATGTCCAAAGTCCATGAGACAAGTCTTGCCATTTCTAAGGAGCATTCTGGCTGTACTTCCCAAACAGATGTGTTTAATATTCTTCACCCACAACATCTTTCAAATGCAGCGCTTTTTCCCTGGTCATCTTCGTTTTCCAGCCTTTACATGCAGATGAGGCAACTGAAAATACCATAGCTAGTATCAAATGCACCTTCACACTTTATTCTAAATAACTGCAAATAAATCAAGTGTATGTGTATTTTTACGTCCATTTTCAATATTCACTGGTTAGTGGGATCTGCGTATTTGATAGAACTAGTAGGCATAATGACATACTGGTTATTTGCCGGGCAACAATCCACAAAACTGGCCATTTGGAACCACCAGGCACTCTGAAGGAGAATGATGGGGCTTTCTTCTCCCATAATCAGTTACCAGTCTCGGGAGCTCCAGGGGAAGTTCTACTCTGCCCTGCAGGGTCACTATGAGTCAGCATGTGCTTGATGGCAGGGAGAGGCGTAAGAAACCTGGCAGCACTGTCGGGTAAATGTTGGGCTGCTAACCACAGGGCCAGCAGTTCAAACCCACCAGCTGCTCCTCAAAAGAAAGTTGAGGCAGTCTGCTCCCACAAAGATTTACAGCCTCAGACCTTCCACACATAAGGTCACCAGGACTCAGAACTGACTCGACAGCAGTCGGTTTGATTTTGGGAGGTGAGTGGACACAATAGTCTGCACATTCCCAATTTTTATTTTAGAAATCAATCCTGCATTTGACAAGTTTGTATTCATCACATTTGGAAAATCATAAGACCGCTCTGCACTTAATTACCCATTAAAAAAGAAAAATTACTTCAGAAGTCTGACAGACAAAATATAGTTCAAAATAAAGTTATTAGAAGAGGGAGTCACACAAGCAATTGTTGGTTTTCTCTAGAACATCCAGGCTAACTCTATTTCAAACAATTACCAAAATCTCAATTAGCAGCAACTCATCTCATCCTGCTATTTAAAATGAAAGTACAATACAGCCTATTCTTTACATTTTTTTTTTAATCAACAAGCCAAAAATATAGTCCACTCTCATTCATTAGCTGTGTTTCTTAATATCAGTTCTTAAATTTACAGTTGGGATATATATATGATCTTCTATTTTCCATTTGTTTTCCAGGTGTTTGCAAGTTCTTATTGGAACATTTGCATAATTAATTACTGCTTTGAAGTCTTTGTCAGATAATTCCAATAAATTTACCATCGTGATGCCTGTTAACTGCCTATTTTCCTAGTTCATTTGCTGAAAAATCCTAAGATTATATACTAGGCATTTAAAATATTATGAAATCACATTCTTTATTCTGTTTAAATCCTATGGGAAAAAGTTGACTTTCTTTTTTAAGTAGGCAGTTGATCAGCTTAGATACAGGCCACCAATTAGGACCACCTTTCTGGGGACTATGATTTCAGTGTCCATTCAATTCCATTTTCAACACCGTGGTGGTGGTCTTCAAATCCATCCTGCCCATGTACCAACCGCTCACCGGTTTGGGGCCTAGATGGCCAACTTTGTTAGTTCAGTCCTCAAAGTCTTCGATAAACTATTTATCTTCAGATCCACATATTCACAGCTTGAGAGTCAGCCAAAAAATTCAGCTACAAATAAATAGGGTCACTTTTCCAGGTTCTTCCTTCTTTGAGATCTCCATAATGCTGTCTGGGTGTTTAAATTTTCCCCTTTGGGGCCGTTCAACCAAAAATCTGGGGATTTAGTTACCACTTCTATAATTATAGAGAACCCTGGTAGCATAATGGTTTAGAGTTGGGCTGTTAACCTCAAGGTCAGCAGTTCAAAATCACCAGCCACTCCACAGGAGAAAGATGGGGCTTTCTACTCCCATAAAGAGTTATAATTTTGGAAACCCACAGGGAGAGGTCTACCTTGTACTATCGGGTTGCCATGAGTTGTTATCGACTCGATGGCAGTGAGTTTGGTTTGGTCTTGACCTGCAATGCATGGATCTAGAGTCCAGCACAGACAAGATAGAACCCTCTCTGTGAGTTGCTGAGGCTGCAATTCTTTACAGGAATAGACAACCTCATATATCACCTCAGAGCAGCTGGTAGTTTTGAACTGCTGACCTTGGGTTTAGCAATCCAAAGTATAAACAGAGCTCCCAATAGATTAGTAACAGATAAATATATATATATATATATATATATATATATATACTGTATAGAAAACAACAAAAAACAATGTGAAGATACAGCAATAGAAACCACATAAAATGGAACAAAGTGAGAAAAAAGGAGGGGGGAAATCGAGCAGCACATGAGAGTGGTAAAACATTATTGGTTTGTCTTACATCTGGGTAGTTAAAACTACCATAAGGTAGGGGAGACGGAGATGGGCGTCTGAGGGGGCCGGGTAGGAGTTTTCCCAATATGAGATAAACTCTAATCCCATGGATCAAGGAAGTAAACCGCACACAGGGAACCCTAAAGGAAACCTCACCAAGAGTCATCACCATAAAATTACTGACATCAGTGATGGGGTGGAGAAACCTTATGATCAGTCAGGGAAAGACATTGCAGACAGAGGAACAAAGACAAGCTGACTTGTGGTTAGAAACCTTCCTAGGAATATGAATCTGCAAAGTCTGTGTTCCCAAAGAGCTATACAGTCATGAGACACTTGCTCAGCCTGGTGTGGGTACCCAGTGCCACGGGAGCCCTGCGGAGAGAGAGCCCTGCATGGGCAGGGGAGAGGCACCATAACCCAGAGGCCAGGCGCTGGGAGGAATGGGAATAGAAGGTTAGCACTGCACAGCCTACTCTTTTGTACTCTGTTAAGCTTGACTCTTTCTCTCTTTTTAAGCTTAAAGGAAGAAAGAGGCCTCGTAATAAAGGAATTTGAGAAGATACCTAAGCCAGGAGTAAGTCTCAGATGATCTAACACGTGTTAAGTACTCCTAGATTGAAATATGGGAAAAGTGGGCTCCGCTGGGCTGTTAAGGCTTGACCGTTCAAATGCCGATAACCAGGTCTTCCAAGGTACCTCTGTCTGGGTCGTCTCAAACCACCTGTGGCTAGTAGTCAAGGGTTAGCCATTCATGTCCCACGGGTACACCTTGAGGAAACATTAAGTGGTGCCTGTTACGTTTCAGCTACTTGGCACATAGCTCAGGCTGTTTAGTTGGACAAGATCTGCTTTGCTTCCAAAAAAGAAAAAGATTCTCTGGTTGACACCGTACATGACTGTTGCTGTGCATACAAGGATGCCATACAAAATCATAGAAACACTGTGTACCCCAAATATCAAAATATGAATCTGTTATTTCTCAACATACAACATACCCTCCATGTAAGTCGACACATTGTGAAGTCAGTGTTTGCAGGCCCCTAACCCTTCCCTGGGGAGCGACGCCCTCTATCAAAGCAGCAGTCCTTGAGCGACTCAATTCGTATGCCATTTAAATGGTCTTTGAGTCTGGGGTACAAAAAGTCTGAAGGGGCAAGATCAAGGCTAAAGGGTGGAAAGAGTGTAAGACTTCCAAAAGGAATTCTGATAAAACAGACCTGGAAAAAATTTCCTCCACACAAATTTCTTGACCTTTTTCTCACCTCTCACCCATGCAGCTTTCAGTTTTTTCAAAACATCTTCATAATTAACCCCTGTAATTGTCCTGTATCCTAAAAGAAAGCATACCAAGATTAGACTGTTGGCATCACGAGAAACAGTCATTGTAGCCTTCTGAGCTGACCTCTCTACCTTGAATTTAACTGACCAGCAGGTCCCATCGGAAGTGATTGCTTGGATTGGACACTTTAAGGCACCCTAATGAAACTCAGGCAGGTGTATTGCTGAGAAGACTTGCCTGCAGCCATCCAACTGATTGCAAATTGAATGTTTCTATAAACTGGAACACTGGTAGCAGTGTTTTTTGACTTACACTCGTATTGCCTTCAGAGCTTCTTGGGCATCTTAAGCTTATTACAAAAAAATCATATTAAGAATAATTACCTTTTGCTGCATAGCAAACCACCCTAGAACTAAGAGGCTTAAGATGACAACCATTGTTATTCTTCATGGTCCTGAATTCTGGTCTGAGCTGGCTCAGTTGGAGCTGGGTGGTCTAGGAGAACTTTATTCATGGGTCATCCTCTTGGCAGGCTACCTGCTCTAAGGGGTGTGGGTGTATGTGGGTTCCCTCACAACTGGAGATGTCAGCCGGGGTGACCAGATGTCGGCTAGGATGAAAGCCGCTTGTCTCTCTAGCAGGATTTGCTCACATGATGACAGGAGAGTTCCCAGCAGCAAGAGAGTGCAGTTTTAACAGAGAGTTTATAGGAGAAACCATCTTGAATTTTAACTCCAGAGCATCTGGTCACTAATGTTGCCCCTTTCCACAAACAGTGGAGGAAGGAGACCTGCAAAAATCCCAGAGCATACTAAATGGATCCATCGCCTAATCATTAGTAATATGTAGACTTCCTGAATCTAAGAAGGCATCTCTCTCATAATTCAGACTTCGCAGATAATCAGATCTAGGAAACAATGACCTTTTTTGAGTTTGGGGCAGGTGCATGTGGGGGAAGCATGCATGCTCTAGGAAAGTAAAGTGAATAAGAAAGGGGCGTTTAAGGAGAAGGGTTGGGTGTTCCAAACGTGATCTCCCTGATCATCAATTTCCAGGTGTGGCGTAGCTTAACTATAAGCCAGCTCTTCAAAGGTCATCTGTGCCTGATTTTGTCAGATCACAAAGCTACTATAAAAGAGGCTGGCAACTGTCTTTGGTGATTTGGGAGATGAAATAAAATTAACAGAAAAATCAACCATTTGAAATAATGGGAGATAAAAAGGTGTACTAGTAGAAAATATGAGTTCAAATCATACATTGTCATGGTTAAACCTTTACTGAAGATAGCAGAAATTATAAGTTGCACCTGACTTCTTGAGAAACCATTTATAAACATAAAAAATCTAATCAAACTAGTGAAAATAAGATTCAGTTTTTAAATAGGTCGCTGTTTGCCGTGATACTACATAACCTGATCATTTTCATGACTTTTGAAGGAGATGGAAAAGAAGATGAGAATATTGAGAGAAAGCACTGAAGAATTACGTAAAGAAATAATGCAGAAGAAATTAGAAATTAAAACCTTACGGGAAGATTTGGCATCTAAGCAAAAACAGTTACTCAAAGAGCAGAAGGAGCTGGAAGACCAGTTGGACTACCAGATCAGCCTAAAGGTGTGCTATTTGGACTGAGTGTGCCTTGGTTAAGGGACTCTGCATGGACACTCACTCACCTCCTCTTAAAGATGGTAAAATACTCAGCTATCTGATAAGAGCATTGTGAGTATTAAGTAGAATAACTAAAGCTCTCTACATCACATAGAGCATATAGGCAGAGTGCAAGCATATTGTCATTCTATTCTCCCTCCTGTTTAATTGGTCTTAATTGCCTTAGATCCAGACTACAGCATTTAACATGATTTAATTTTTTTTACCAGGATGATGTGGTCCACCATCAAGCTCTTCCTATGCAAATTGGAAAAGAGATAGAAAAAATTACTCGCAGAAAAGTGTATGATTTAACATTTTTATTTTATTTATTTAACATATTCATACAAGAACATTAATCACTTGACACAACATATTCTATTCAAAACCGATGAAATTACGTGTATATACACGATTTTATACATAACTGCTTTTTGCCTTGTCTGACTTGTATGTTAAAAGAAAGTAACATACCAACTGATTACCACTCACAATACTTGTTTATGTTGTAAGTATAGGGCACAATTCCTTTTGCAATTTATAAATCATCTGTCTGGAGAATTCGTATTGAATTTCATGGAGCTGTGCAAGGGATAAATTAATTCAATTATGTAGAAGTTCAGGGTCTGGAAGTATATCAACCAGTCAGCAACCTAGAGCCCAAATGATAGTAACTCCTCACTTTGCCCCCAGTTCAAATGTAACACACCCTCAATCAAAGTAGATTTGGATGCCAAGGTCCCTAAGAAAATTCTTGAATGTTAGAAGAACAACAAAATCTAAACTTACGTGGAGATGCAAAAAGTCTGGAGAAAGAATATAATTGCTCTGGTGATTGATCTTAAAAGGAGGAGGAAAGTAGGAGCAGACACGAGTAATGGTTCCCAAAGTGAAGCCCACCTGAATCAAAATTGAGACATTCTGGTCGGTTTGGGGAGACTGATCAAGATGGAAGCAATTTGGGTGGGGAGCGGGAAAGAGAGGAGAGGGGAGACTGGGAAAATGTTTGCCCTCAGTGGTACTCAGTAGAGAAACCTCCTAAATCCTATTTATTTCTGGACTTCACCTCACTTTGAGCTCCCTGAAGTATGCCTAGCCCTTTTGTCGTGTGATGAGGAACAGGGATGGTGAAGACAGCACGGGCCTAGCGTAAGGCAACCACTTGATGTGTAGTATAACGAATGGTACACACAGTGACACTGAAAATGCACAAACATACATGAGATGTATATGAAGGGGCATCAAAAAGTTCATGTAAACACGGAACTTAAAAAAATGGATTTTTATATGAACTTGTAGAAATCGCTTTGCATATGGTTATGTACATTCTTCCCCTACAGAGAAATGGAAAGGAAAAACCTTGCCTTAGAAAATGAAGCCAAGGAATTAAATGACTTCCTAAAGAAAACTGAAACTAAAATTAACACTATAATGGAAGAGAAAGAGGATGTAATAAAAGAAGTTGAAGGAAAGCGAGCCTTACTTGAAGTTAAGGAAAGAGAACACGGGCAGTTGCTCAAATTATTGGAATTAACCAGAGAGAACGAAGCCACGCTGCTAACTGAAAGGTTGGTTCTACTGAGTTCCACCATCTGCATTTTCTTGGGCTTCTCTTTGAGAACTCAGAACAGAATTTCAAACAATTTTGTTAATTCCATACTTTTTAATATAAAATGTAAATGAATTTCTATTCAAATGTTATTAAACATTTGAAGAAATATTTGTTTTTCCTCCTTCCTTTTTAAAATTATTTATCTTTTCACTTAATTCCTTGTGCCTAAGTCTTTTTTCCCCCAACACTTTTATTGGCACATAATTTACATGTGATAGAAATGAATCGTTCAATCATTCAAACATATGAAGGGTGTTAGTCTGGGTTGAGTAGTAAAACAAATTCATTGACACTCATGTTTATAAGAAAGAGCAATTGTATATTGAGAACATATCCTAGCCCAATTCAGATCAAGTCCATAAATCCAATATTAGCCCATATGTCCATAAATTCCTCTTTAGTATCACACACCATATGCAATGATCCCTGAATGCAGGAAGATCACAGGCCAGTGGGCAGCAGGTCTTGTGGCTACAGTGGCAGTGGGAGCATCTCAACGCTGGTACAGGTCTCCACTCATCTCCTCCAGCTCTCCGAGTGTCTCAACAGCAGGAAAGGGAAGGCAGAGAGGGGACTGGGTCTGGCTTCCAGTGAACTATTTATCTCCATGGAGCCTCCATATGAGGCCATCAAGCTGCAACCTGATTGACAAGCTTAACTCCACCCCTCTGCTCAAGTTGACAGGAGATTATGTAAACTGCCACAAAGGGGGAATCCATCCTAGAGCATTCCCTCCCCCCATGACTGATTAACCCTTAAAGTGAGCTGATCAGCTCCAGTGCTCTCTCCCCCCTCCCTCCTTCATTGTTTATTCCCAAACTCTCCTTCCCCTCCCTCTCCTCCCCCTTACATTCCCTGTAACACCTTGCGTCAGTTATTATCATTGTACATCCACTCCTCCTGTGCTTCATAGGAAATCCCACAGAAAACAATGAAAAACAAATCACCCAAAGGTGGTAAGGATAAGATCACAGTAGTGTCAAGGCCAAAATACAAATAATATTGTGAGAGGGAGAAGACCTCCATCAACATTCAAAAAGCCAGAGAAGTTTTTGTCAAATTCAGGACGTCTTGGGGTGGTGGTGGGGGGTGACAACTGGCCAAGTATCGCATTCTATCCAGCATATTCAAAGTTCCAGTGGTCTCTGTCTGGCTGTTCGGGACTCTTGCCTTTGGCTAGAGTGGATCTGCCAGTAGCTAAATCTGACTATATACTTTGCAGATGGGTTTGGGGCACCCACTGTCCTCCATAGCCCTTTACAAATTGGGTGTGCACAATTTTACCTCTGACACTTTTTTCTTCACCATATTTGAATTTTGTAATCATCATCTTTGGGTCACACTAGCTGGTGTGCTTCTGTGTGGACCTAGTTGGTTCCTCTCATAGATGACTGCTTGTTTGAATAGTAGCTATTTCGATTGATAGCTGGGGCACCATCTACTTTCTTCACCACACTTTGCTGCAGCACCCTTATCTTCAGTGATCATTTCATGAAGGTGAGTGTTGAGCAGGGCCATGATGAAATAACTAATTATTCTTAAGTTGGAGCTAGGATTTCGTGGGAGCCCAGAACTCCATACTGGATCTATGGTTTGGGGGTGTTGTTGTTTTTTTAATTATAGTAATTTGCTGTAGCTTTGGCCTTAATACATATGTCATATCATTCCATAGTTCAATCATATCAGACATAATTGTGCCATAACTTCCATAATCAGTCTCCAAACATGTTTTTCTTTCCTAAGTTTCTTGATGTCCTTTTACTTATCTCCCTCCCCACTCTACGTTGCCCCTCCCCCCAACTCCTTATGTTTTCTTTCCCTATAGGTTCTACGCCCCTGGGTTTCATTTACCAAAAAACAGAGAGACAAATAACACAGCTTCAAGAAGGTTACCCCCCACACCAATGGCGGTGCACCTCTAAGACACACCCCTACATAGGCAAGCATAAGCAAAATATAACCGAATGGCTGCCATAGGATAACTGGAATAGTATGCATCTCAATACGGCATACAGGGCGCGGATATAGTACCCTGTGTGTGAACCAATCAACCACCTTGTGCCTAAAACTTAAGGATACAACCTATTTTATGTTGGATGAGTCTAAAATATGCCTTTAGACACTTAAAGCCCCAGAAAGCAGAGGTTTTGTTTTTTTCTTTAAAGAAATAAATCTTTCAGAGAGTTATCATTTTTTCCTTAATGAGAGTACTTTGAGGAGTGTTTTCCCTGGAAACATTTTACTATTTTTAAGTAAGATTTCAGAAAAACTCTGACTTCTTTCTTTGCCAATATGCTATTACATATAGGGCTTTTATAAGACCATGACTTATCAATGATACCAGCGGATGCCAGTAAACTTCCATTCTCTCCCTTTACCTGAAACAGAGGGATATTGGATCTCAGTTTACAAAACCGTCTCATCGACAAGCAGAACTACCACGACGAGCTTTCTCGTAAGCAGAGAGAAAAAGAGCGAGATTTTCGGAATTTAAAAAAGATGGAGTTGCTCTTGAAAGTGTCTTTGGATGCACTGGCTCAAACGCAAGCACTACATCAAAGACTTCTCTTAGAGGTGGGTGCTGTACCCCTAGGTCTAATTGTGAAGCTCAGTGCTGTCTTTCAAAGTAAAGGTCTTCTAGAAAGTTGTGCTTGTTGTTGATGCAAAAAAGGAGGAAAGAACAAATTGGTGGGGGTGGGGGTGGGGGTGGGGTTTGAAACGCATCAAATCAACTCTGGGAGCTACAATCCTGTAGCGTATTTGCAATTGTTTTTTGCTAGCCCTTGATTGTTGTTTGGATCAGGCACTAGCCTAACCAGGGGAGTGATCAGGGCCAATTAGTCTGGAAGCGCTAGCACTTCACTACAAGGTAAGACCAAGTAAACCTCCCTTTATCCACTCGAGTCAAGAGGCAGCATGTCTGTTAGGTGCTGCAGGTCACAAGTGGCATGTGTACCACCACCCACTGCCCATAACTGTCATAGGACCTTGCTCAACTGCAAGGGGACAAGAAAAACAAAACTCACGGCCATTGTAAGGGGGCAAGGAAGTATATCATCTTTTCAAGTGCCCAGGTAAACAAGAACTGCAGGTGAGGATAGGTGATGAGAAGTTTGCACCACATCTGGAAAGTCCTGTTTACATTTCCGAGGTCACAGAACTTCCCAAGATAATGACCATGGCAAGTCTGGAGAGAATAAGTCAAACTTCTGTACATCGACTGCTGCGTCCCAGCAGCTACTCCCTTTCTCCCCAGAGGAATCGCTGGCCACTGTCCTCACCTAAGAGTACAACCCTCTCCGGGTTGGTTCTTTGGCCATTTCAGAAGTGTTTGGTCATTTAGCATGGGGAGTCTAGCTGAGACAGGAAGACGTCAGAGACAAAGGAACCACAGGCTCTCAGTTGGAGCATAGCATTAAGAAGGTTAACAGTTACCTTGAAAGTTTAGTGTTATTGGGTGTCACTGAGGTGACTATGACTCAGAGCCCTCAAGTGATAGAGGAAAACTCTCCTACAGGCATTTCACCAGGTCTCTCTTCCACAAAACTACTTGGTGGGTTCAAACCACCAGCCTTTCCATTTGCAGCCAAGTATGTAGCCATTGCACCCATCAGACTCATATTGTTGCCCTTGGGTTCTGTCCGTCCATGCTGACTCCCAGCAGCCTGTGTGCAACAGAATGAAACCCTGCGCAGGCCACAGCGTCCTCATGAGTGTGCTTCTGATGAGACCCATGGCTGCAGCCACTGTGCCAATTCCTCTGTTTGGTGCCCGTCTACTTGACCAAGCAGGACGTCCTGCTCTAGAGACTGGCGTCTCCTGACAACATGGCCAAAGTACGTGAGATGAATGAAGTCTCGCCATCCTTGGGTCTAGGAGCATTCTGGATGTACTTCGTACAAGAGAAATTTGTTAGTTCTAGTAGCAATCCATCGTATTTTCAATTCTCCTCCAGCACTAGAAGTCAAGTGCTTTGTGTATGTGGTTTTCCTTATTCCGTGCATATGGGTCCATTGAACATACCATGTCTGGGTCGGACGCACCATTCTTGCTTTTCCATACTTTAAAGCGGTCTTGGGTAGCGGATTTAGCCACTGCAATGTGTTGTTTGATCTCTTGACTGATGTTTCTATGAGCATTGATTGTGGATCCAAGCAAGATGTAATCCTTGACAACTTCAACCTTTTCTCCATCTATCATGTTACTCATTGGTCCAGTTGTGAGGATTTTTATCTTTCTTACATTGAATTGTAATCCATATTAGTGGCAGCAATCCTTGATTCATTAGCAAGTGCTTCAAGTCATCCTCAATTTCACCAAGTAAGGTTATGTCATCTGCACATCTTAAGTTATTAATGTCTTCCTCCAATCCTGATGTCATATTCTTCATCACAGAATTCAGCTGCTCTGATTATTTGGTCAGCATACAGACTGAATAACTATGGTGAGAGGACACAACCCTGACTCACACCTTTCTTGATCTTAAACCATGCCATATTCCCTTGTTCCCTTCACACAACTGCCTCTTGATCCATGAATATGTTCCACATGAGCACAGTTAGGTGTTCTAGAATTCCCATTCTTCTCAAAGCTATCTTAAGTTTGCCACGATCTATACAAATGCCTTTGCATAGTCAGTGAAAAAACAAGTTAACATCTTTCTGGTGTTCTCTACTTTCAGCCAAGATCCACCTAACAACAGCAAAGATATCCCTTTCTCCACGTCCTCTCTGCAGCCTGCCTGAACCTATGGCAACTCCCTACCAATATACTGCTACAGCTTTTGTTGGATGATCTTCAGCAAAATTTTACTTCCATGTGATATTCATGATGTCATTCTATAATTTGAACACACTGTTGGGTCGCCTTTCTTTGGCGTGTATACAAACATACATCTCTTCCAGTCACGTGGGCAAGTAGCACTCTTCCAGTTTTCCTGGCATAGACCCTTCCAGTGCTCCATCACCTTGTTGAAACACTTCTATTGTTATTCCATCAATTTCTGGAGCCTTGTTTGTGGCTAATGCTTTCAGTATAGCTTGAATCTTCTTTGTTCCAAGCAAGCACCATTGGTTCTTGCTCATATGCTACCTCCTCAAATGGAGAGTCGACTTTCTGGTACCGTGACTGAGTTCTTTCTACCTTGTTTTGATTTTTCCTGCATCATTCAATATTTTGCCCATAAAATCTTTCAGCATTTCAACTTGAGGCTTGCAATTTTTCTTTAGTTCTTGCAGTTTAAGATATGCTACCAATGTTCTTCCTTTTTGGTTTTCTAACTCTTGGTCTTTGCCCATCTTATACTATTTTACCTTGTCTTCTTGAGCTACCCTTTGAAAATTTCTGTTCAGCTCTTTGACTTAATCATTTACCATAGATACTCTATGCTTAAGAACAAATTTCAGTCCCTTGTGACCTCCACTTTGATCTTTTCTTTCTTTCCTGTTTTTACATGACTTTTTGCATTCGTCATGAATGATATTCTTCATGTTCTTCCACAGCGCATCAGGTTTTTTGTCCTGGTGTTCGGTGTATAAATCTCTTCTTGAGATGGTCTCAAAATTTAGGTGGGATAGACTCAAGGTTGTATTTTGACTCTCATGGACTAGTTTTAATTTTCCTCAGCCTCAACCTGAATTTACAAAGGAGTCATTGGTGGTCTTTTCTACAGCAGCTGCTGGCCTTGTTTTAGCTGCTGATATTGAGCTTCTCCATTGTCACCTTCCCTAACTGTGGTCAGTTGGATTTCTTTGTACTCTATCTGGAGAAGTCCACATGTATAGTCACAGTTTGTATTGTTGAGAAAATGTATTTGCTATGAATAAGTCATTGGTCTTGCAAAATTGTATCATGTGATCTCCAGCTTCATTTCTATCACCAAGACCATATTTTCCAACTACTGTTCCTTCCTCTTTGTTTCCAACTTTTGCATTCCAATCACCAATAATCAATGCATCCGAGTTGCATGCTTGATCAATTTCTGACTGAAAAAAAATGGATAGAATTCTTCAATTTCTTCATCACTAGCTTTAGTGTTTTGTGTACAAATTTGATAATAGTTGTACTGATTGGATTTTCCTGAAGGCAGATGTTATAATCTAATCACAGATAGCAATGCACTTCATGATGGATTTAGCAAGGTCCTTTCTGACAATGAATGCCACGCCATTGCTTTTGATTGTGTTATTCCCAGAATAGTAAATCATATGATTTTCTGATGGAAAATGGCCAATACTAGCCCATTTTAGCTTACCTACACCCAGGACATTGATTTTTATTCATTTCATTTCTTTTTGATGACTTCTAATTCTACTTTGAACATTACAAGTTCTGATTATTGGTAGGTTTTGCTGCGGATTCTTCCCATTTTGAGTCATGCCCCGTCACAAATGAAGGCAAAGAAGGCTTTACTCCCTTCACGTCCTTACTGTCAACTCTACCTTGAGAGGGCAGTTCTTCCTTAGTCATGTTTTTATTTCCTCCGACCCGAGGGGCTCATCTTCTGGCACTATCTCTGACAATAGTTTACTTCTATTCATCCATATCTGACAGTGTTTCGATGCTGTGTGTAACATTTTCAGTGGCTAATCCTCCAAAGTGGGCGGCTGATTCCTTCTTCATAGTCGGTTCTTAGTCTGGAAACCCCACTGAAACCTGTTCACTTTGGATGACCCTGCTGGTATTTGAAACACCAGTGGCATAACCTTCAGCTTCACAGCAACACACAAGCCAGCACAGTCAGACAAACTGACAAACATGTGATCTGTTTGGGCTAATTTTGACATCAGCTAGCTATAAATGCCCTTTAAGACTAGGCTGAAAAAAATGTTATTTATATCATATGAAACTAACAGAAGTGAAAATCCTCATTTTTCATTAAGAAAACCTTTTTTTTTTTTCAGTCCTAATACATGTTCAGTGAGAGACTAACTTACTCTTTGACTTTGTGACTTATAATTAGCTCAGCCACTGTTCTGTGCTGTTGGCAGTACTTGAAAATAGGAGTGGGTCAGGCCAGACACTCCCAGCCTGAGTGAACATTTCAGACTTGCATGCCATCCCCAAAGGAAAGAGGTAAAAGGTAAACATGAAGGTTGTTGTTTAATTCCCCAATGGCCTTTAATGGTACCAAACCTCATGAAAGTTTGAAATATTTTAGAAAAATATCAAAGCCTTAAAGAAACAAGTTCACTGACATCAAATAATTGCAATGCTTAAAGCAACAGAAAAATGACTTGTTTCTTAACTTTTGTAAGAAGTGTATCTGAAAGAAGATGCCACACGGTTAGCAGCAACTACAGAGTCAGAGTTGAAGTGGGGGCGGGGGGGGGGGGGGGGGGGGGGGAGACAGAGTTTAATTTTTTGCTTGACACACTTCTGCTTATTGGTTATAATAAACACATAATACTTCTCCTAAAGCCTGAAATGCTACTAAAAGTAATAGTAATATTCTCAAAAGTAATAGTAAATATCTCAAATATTACCTAAGACCACATAATTAGAACTTGGCTCTTTGACACATTGTTTTCCTCCCTCAATAGTGGAAAACTGAGCCTCCTTTCAGCCTGTTTTCTAGAGTACCTTATGAAAGTTTCCCTTCAGAATATATATGAATTATGTTCGCCATTAAGAAGTAACAGAAACCCAACTATAGTTGCTTAATGAAATAGGAGGAGTTTGATTCACACAATACAAAGTATAGAGGTAGGCACACCAGATCATTCCTTCCACGCCATAAAAAGCCCAGGTTCCTTCTTCCTCCCATATCTGTCACCCTTAGTGTACACTGATCTTCTCCACTGGCACAAGGTGGCCATTCAACCATTAAACATAGTACCACACATGAAGTGGAGAAGGGCAGAGGGCAAAAGGTATATGGCAGATGGCTTGGCTAGTTTCATCTTTTTGAAATAGGTATACTGGCAGATAATTCACATATAATACAACTCAATAGTTCAGTCATATCAAAAGAGTTGTGCAGTCTTCACCACAGTCTATTATAGAACATTCTCTTCTCTCTTGTGGTCATTATTGTTAGCGCCTCCACCTCTGTCATGCCCCTAATTATTAATCCAGTTGGTGTCTCTATAGATTTACCCTTCCTGGATTTCATATACAGAGAGACATACAAAACAAAAATAAGAAGCCAACTCCAAACCCAACAACAATGACAAAAATAAAACTGAAAACCCTCAATAGAAAAGAAAGTAGAAAATATTAAAAACTGAATCCAATTAAAAGTGAGTCAAAAAGGAGATCGAGGGGGAGGGAGGGAAAAAAGAGGAGCTGATACCAAGAGCTCAAATAGAAAGTAAATGTTTAGACAGTGATGATGGGAACATATGTACAAATATGCTTGATACCGTGGATGTATGGATTGTTATGAGAGCTCTAAGAGCCCCCAGTCAAATGACCCTTTAAGTAAATAAATAAATAAAGGAGTTTGAACTCTGACAGACCCGTTTTGGGTTTTTTGTTGTTTTTTTAAAGGAGATCAAAATAGGAAATTACTTTTTTTTTTAAAAAGGAAATTATTTACTTTCCTCGGAGCCCTTCACAGCAGATTTCTACTTATATTTCTCCTTGACCTGGATTGGCTCAGCTGCAGAGGAACCTGAGAATGCCTGGGCACATTGCAACTCTGAACAAAACCAGGGTTCTGTTGCTGAGGTCAAAGTGAAGGGTGGGTATTGATGAGGCAATAAGTAGGCTCCAATTGCCCCCTTTCTTACCTTTTGACCCATCGAGCATGCTTAAATCCTGCCCGAAAGTAGAAGGCCAGATTTTAAAGGAAATTGAGAAAGATGCTAGATTTAGGAGCTAGCCAGAACTGAAAAAAATAATCACAAAGGATATTCACTACAGTCTTGTTTATAACATCAAAACATTGGAAACAACCTGAGACCTCAAACCCAGAAAATCTGTCAAAAGCTTTAGTTTGCAACACAGTCGTTCAATGTGACTCATCATCTTTCTGTAAAAGCTTTCTAAGCTTTGCTGATCCCAGTTGGTATTCGTGTGCAGATTTGCTGGCACTTGAGAGCAAGCAGGAGGAGCAGCTTGCCCCTGGTACCTGCAACCTAGAACCACACCTAGGATGCTTCCTGTTCTTCCTTGTCCAGGAGGGCTTCATTCCGCTTTCCAGAAGGCAAAGTCAAATATGTCTTACTAACTTCTCACTCTTTTCCATCAAGTGAGAACAAGAACCCAATTATTCAAGTCTACATTCACCTCTCCCTTTTCTAACTTGCTATCACAGCGATCAAGGAGCCCTGGGCGGTGGGGTGGGACACACACTGGACTGTTCAAGGTTAGGACTTCAAACACACCAATCACGCCACAGAGAAAGGTGAGGCTTTCTGCTCCTAGAAAGCCTTAGAGCCTCAGAAACTCAAAGGAACAGGGCTGCTCTCTCTAATAGGCACACCGAGTCAGAATCAACTCAGTGGCAGTGAGTTTGAGAGATAGCAATGATCAGTTCATTAAAAAACAAACAAACACCTTTGTATCTTTATTTGGCTTTCACAAGAGCGTGTCTCATCTGAAGTCAGGGCCCTCGAGTAGGTTCCACCTCGTAGCAACCTATGAACGACCGAGCAAAACACTCCCCGGCCCTGTGGCACCCTTCACAATTGTTCTCCTGCTGGAGCCCGTTGTTGCTGCCCCTGTATCAATTCATCTGGTCAGATCGATCTCTTTGTTGATGCCCTTCTGATTTAACAAGCATGATGTCCCTTTCCACGGACTGGTCTCTTCTGACAACATGTCCAAAGTAGGTGAGTCAGTCTCACCATCCTCACTTCTAAGGAGTCTCCTGGCTGTAGTCCTTTGAAGACACACCTCTTTGTTCTTTTGGCAGTCCACTGTACTTTCAGGATTCTTCGCCAGCACCCACACTTCAAAGGCAAGGATGCTTCTCCAGTCTTCCTTATTCAGGGTCTGACTTCCACATGCCTCTGAGGCTGTTGAAAATGGCTGAAGTCAGGTGTACCTTAGTCCTCAGAGTGCCATCTCTGCTCTTCAACCCCTTTAAAGAGGTCTTGTGGAACAAATTTACCCAACGTAATGCATTGTCTATCTCGACTGCTACTTCTAGGAGCATTGATTGTGGATCCAAACAAGATGAAACCCCTACTCCACCAAGGCTCCTTCTTAACAACTAGTTCTCCAGAATAGAAGGGACTGTGGGAATAGGGACGTCTTTGGGCGCCTAATGGTACTTAAACTACCACTGATGACAAGTAGATGTGTGGGTGGATGTTGGGGATCCCAAGACACCTTTAGCCGCTTTAAAACAGCAGCATGGCCCACAGGAAGATACTATTCAGCAACCGTTAACTATCTGACCAGCCAACCTTGGTGCCTAGAAGTGTGCTTTCGACAGTAGGAAAGGAACTACATCGATTGGCGTCACGTACATTTAGTCTAAAGCCCAATTCTAAACCTGCTCAAAGTATCCTATAAGCACCCCTCAGATGGTCCTTACTACAGTCATAGATTATACACCTAGATAGAATATCTGTAGGGATGCGCCCTCCTCCTCTCAGTTGTGTTATCCATCATACCGATTATGACACGCTCATGGCCAACAAAGCAAGCAAACCCGGCAGGGTGACGTACTGCTGCCTCCCTACAGTACCTGAACTGAAGACAAAGCCATAAGCCAATGCAACAGAAAGATAATTGGAAAGTTAACCAAAAACAGATGAGATTGTTTGTTTGTTTGTTGCATTAAGAACTTTCCAGCTACTCACAAAACCACTCCAAGTACTCAGCTGTTCCACGGCTGCTTGTGGCCGCTGCTTCTTCACGATCTGATTTCGTGAGTGAACTCATTTCACATTAACTATCATTTGAATAGTCATAATCGCTACATGTTTCCAAAGTGCTTAGTCATGAGTCCGCGGCCATATAAAGCAGTGCTAAGATCGTGGGCTCTGCATCTAATTGCCTGGGTTTCCACCTGCACCACTGAGGCAAGTTGCTTAAATGTCTGTGTGCTTCATTTTCCTTGTCTGTACAATTGGAGATATTAGTGGGATTACTGTGAGGATTAAAGATCATACACATAAGCATTAGGACATTGTTGGTGCTTAATGAGTGTTAGCTATTATTTGCAAGATTTGTTTTAAATGAGTGAAAAAATAAGAATATTTATAGATATTTGGGGGTAGTTCTCTATATTTTAGCTTTCCAAGACTTTATTCACACACACACACACACACACACACACACACAAAATAGGTTTTCTAGAAGACAGAAAAATCATGGTTTTCCCACCATTTTCAAAAGGTGTGTCATTGAGTTGACTTCGTGGTGTTGAGAGTTACCTTTTTGGGTAAATGCCTGCTGTATCTTGTGGCTTCCAGATAGATGCGTTCCCTAAAGATGATACCACGTGGTCTGACAGAAGGCGAGAGCTCCACAAGGAAGTGGAAATAGCTAGGAGGAATTTGGCCCAACAGGTAATGTCAACGCTCACGGCAACTTCTATCTCAAATTGGTTAATAAAAAGTTGTTGGTTTGTGGGGGTTAGGGAGGGATTTGTTTTTCACTGTGCTCCATGAAACTTCATTAACAGAAGACTCGTCAGAAAGAATATAAAGCCTGTTTCTTCATCTAAAAGCCTACCCCAATCCCACATTAAATCTGAAAAAACAATAACAAAAAACCAAACAAGTGTTTAAAATAAAAGAACTATCAAAAACACTAAAAGTCAACAACAAATGCTTTATTCCACCAATATCTACTTGTTGATTTTTTGAAATTGTTGCTTACTCAAGCCACTGTCAAAATATTTTAACGCTATGTCTCTTCGTTTCCTTGAAGTTGCTTGAAAATACAGTTCAAATCAGAACAAAAGTTTCTGTCATGTTAACCCATTGTTTGTGCTCCCATGAGAACACGGGAGCTAAGACAGTGTATTTTCTTTGTTTTATGTCTTAATCAAATATATCCTACACAGAAAACAAAAAGGTGATCTGAGATACTCGTTCAAACAAATAGTAATTGTTATCCTGTGTTTTTCAAAAGAAAGTCTTATCTGATACAGAGTCCAAGTTAGTCGAACAACAACTTGCCGATGAAAACAAGCTTGTAAAGGAGCAAGGAAACATACGTGAGCTGGTGTTAACGCTTCTCCGGATGACGCAAGTGAAAGCTGATGAGAGAGACCAGAAGTCCAAGGATTTTCTGAAGGCTCAGGTAACAGCAGTTGGGAACCATTCATCATTGCTACAGGGATGCAGAGTAGCCTCATTTATAATGCACTTCTCACTTCAGTTATCACTGGAAGTCTCCTCCCGTTTTCAGTAACTAGAAATCTTCCCTAAATAGCACTCAGTTGTGCACTGAAAACATAGGCTGAGGATTCGTACAGGAACAGCCAGCAATCCAGAGGGAAAAGGAGAAAAGGAGATAGCTCAGTGAGAAGGGGCAGAGGATTTGAACAGATGGGAGTTTCAGCAAGAAGAAAGAGGGCACTTCCGCAAACTGGGCTGACACTTGCATAGGCCACAGAAATCATCCCGATTTCATCACCATCTCAGATTCCATTCTGATTTGCCTGGGAACCACTCAAAAAGGAGAGCATTTGACGACTCTTCTTCCCAAGGTCATCAAGCTGGTATTTTTTAAAAGCAATGCTTCTTCATCTCATGACTTTGCTGGGCTTCTGACAAGCATGGTGACCCAACACAGCATCTCTAATAAATTCAAATGATAGCAAGTGAGAGGGTGGGGGGTGGGGAGGATCATTTGTCCTGCTAGCTAAACTTCTGACATTCAGATCATTTAGCTCACATTAGGATTCTGTCCAGAAGTTCCTCATTAAAAAAGAATACTTCCTACTTTGGGGATATCACATATTACTAAAATAGACTATCAGAATTTATCATGTAAATCAGAGCTTGGCAGTTTCTAAGTGCAATCTTTGTCCTTCATCTGAACAATGATTTATACAGAGGCAGCACTGCTTTTCGTTATCCAAAAAGAACTCCCACTAAAGCAATAGTGAGTCCATGAGATAAAAGATTCCGTAGAGAAGACTGAGGAGAAAATTTACATAGCAAACTCTTCAAAGTCCCACTTAACTGTTTTATTTTTACTTCCCTAAAACATTTGAGAAGCTGAAAGAACGTCAGCATGGTTGGTGCATGGGAGCCAGAGGAGAACGGGGATTAAATAGTGAGACCCGAAGGCAGGCAAGGCTGGCGGGAGGAGAGCCACAACATCCATGACCCACGTGTGGACTCTGTCATGGCAGGCAATAGCGGGCCAAGAAGAGTTCCTGGGGAAAGGTCAAGAAGGGAAAAGCTCGGGGAGGAATCGATGAAAATGAGACAATTCCTGACCTGGAGTAAGAACAGCGGAGGGGGAAGAGTAGAAGCTGAAGAAGATGAGAGGGCAGACCAAGTGAAGCCCCTCATCGTCAAGGTCATTCAGCGTCTGGGAGTGGTCTGGTCCTGTACCATATTGTCTTTAGAACCTGGTGCTGCTGGAGATCCCCTTGCAGAGGGGTCTCGGGGAGGAGATGAGCCAGTCAGGGTGCGATGTAACAACGATGAAAAATACAACTTTCCTCT